ATTTAGCAAGACCAAATAATCTCTGAAGTGGCCACTGATTCTCCAAACTATTTTTACTAAGGTCATGCCAGCTGGATAAGAACAAGCAAGTTAAAGGACTAAAATAGTGGTTCATGCAATAGCCAGGCATCCCAGAAGTTGTTGTTGTTGTTAGGTGCCGTCGAGTCATCTCCAACTCATAATGACCCTATGTACAGCAGAATGAAACACTGCCCGGTCCTGTGGCAGCTCTACAATCCTTGCTATACCTAAGCCCATCGTTGTAGCCACTGTGTCTATTCATCTCTTTGAGGGCCTTCTCCTCTTTTGTTGACCCTCCACTTTACCAAGCATCATATCCTTCTCCAGGGAATGGTCCCTTCTGACAACATGACCAAAGTAGGTGAGACAAAGTCTGGCCACTCTCACTTCCAAGGAGCATTCCAGCTGCACTTCTTCTGGGACAGATTTGTTAGTTCTTTTAGCAGTCCATGATAGTTTCAGCATTCTCCACCAATAGCACAACTCAAAAGCATGAACTCTTCTTTGGTCTTCCTTATTCTTTGTCCAGCTTTCACATGCATGAGGTGATTGAAAATACCATGGGTTGTGTCAGGTGCACCTTAGTCTTCAAGGAGATATCTTTATTCTTCAGCACTTGAAAGAGGGCTTTTGCAACTGATTTGCCCAGTGCTATTTGTTGCCTGATATCCTGATTGCTGCTTCCATTGGTGTTGATTGTAGAACCAAGTAATATGAAGTCTTTGACAACTTCAATCTTTTCTCCATTTATCGTGATGCTGCTTATTGGTCTAGTTGTGAGAATTTTTGTTTTCTTTATATGGAGGTGTAATACATACTGGACTGTATTCTTCAATTTCCATCAGTAAGTGCTTCAAGTCATCCTCACTCTCAGCAAGTAAAGTTGTGTCATCAGCGTATTGCAGGTTGTTAACGAGTCTTCCTCCAATCCTGATGCCATGTTCTTCTTCATACAGTCCAGGTTCTCAAATTATTTGCTCAGCATACAGATTGAATAAGTATGGTGAAAGGATACAATCCTGACATACTCCCTTCTTGATTTTAAACCATGCAGTGTCTCCTTGTCCTGTTTGAATGACAGCCTCTTGGTCTATGTCCAGGTTTTTCATGAGTACAATTAAGTGTTCTGGAATTCCCATTCTTCTCAATGTTATCCATAATTTGTTATGATCTACACAATCAAATGCTTTTGCATGGTCAATAAAACACAAGTAAACATCTTTCTGGTATTTGCTTTCAGCCACGATCCATCTGATATCAGCAATGATATCCCTCATTCCATGTTCTCTTCTGAATCCAACTTGCATTTCTGGAAATTCTCTGTCAATATATTGGTGCAACCATTTTTGAATTATCTTCAGTAAGATTTTACTTGTGTATGATAATCCCAGAGGATGGCTCCAAAATACCACTATATCTGGCATTTCTCATTTTCCCCAAAAAGATAGTTAAAACTTACTTACAAGAACAAAAATAAACCCACAATAAAACTTGAAAAGCTTCCAATGCAAAGAAGCAGAGCTTGGATTCAAGAGGTTATTTACTTTGCAATGATTTCTGAGATTTCATGGATGTGGACAGCCCAAGCAGCTCAGTTGGCACTAGAGCCCAAATCCTTGATTCCTCAGGAGTTGCTGCAGGCAATGCACCTTTAAAATCCCACGCCTGACATCACTTAATGTCAATGAAGAAACTCGTACTCTGGTAGGGTAGAAAAGAGAATTAGTTTTATCAGGGATCATACAACTTGGGTTGGGCAGCACTAAGTGAAAATACAAAGTGCTCTGCCATTCTAAAGAAAAAGTAAAGCTTTTATACACAAAGGTCAGCATGACTAAAACTACAATTATCCTGTAATTCTTTCTTCTTATCAGTTATCCTGAGAACTGTATGTGCAAGGACATCTTTGTTGCATGCTTCCTGGAGCACACTTAGTACTTTTTTTTTTTTTAGAACAACTGCTTCTCCTTCTGCCTTCCTTTCCTGTTATCCAAGAATGCCATGAATTAATCCTTCATTGAGATCGCAGTCTGAAAGCTTTTGTTTTGAATGTTTGCTTGCACATAAAGGAGACTCCAGCAAGTCAGATACTACAATCTGATATAATGTGATCACATAAAAACTAAAACCAAACTCACTGCCATCGAGTCAATTCCAACTCTTAGAGACCCCCCATTGGGTTTCTGAGGTGATACATCTTTATGGCAGTAGATTCCTCCATCTTCCTTCCTTGGAGCAGCTGGTGGTTTGAACCATCAACCTTCTGGTTAACAGTCAAATGCCTTAGGTGCTATACCACCTAAGCTCCTTATGTAATCACATAATGATGTACATTTAATCACACATATTGTCACCATTAGTATATTCTATTGGTTATAACCGATTCTGAGGTCCCATTCACACTCAAAGTAGGGGGGGGGGTGCCCCACAGGGGCATGAACATCAGGTTAATAGTGTCATAGAGGTCACTTTAAGTGTCTGTCTGCCACAGTATCAGTACTGAGTTGGACAATCCCCAGAGCTGTTTCAAAGGCCAACACACATCTTTCCTTCCCATGCATCTGATTTTCTCAAGCTTGTCTCAGGGAGGTACTTCATTAGGTAGAGAATTGATGGGGGTGAGGGGAAAACTATGGCCACCAATTTCTTTAGCTCAGCCATAGTGGAGGGTGAGTGGGATATAAGAGCAAGTGTATCTTGTTGGTGTTTCTCTGTGTGTAATTGAATCTACTAGCTTGTAACAAACCTCTTTATCTTTTGTCTATACCATTTGACAACTTCTCTTTGTCACATGGATATACTTTCTGCATTTATTTGTGTGCATGTACTGGCTTTCTCAGCTGTAAGTACCTTGAAGTCAGAGGCTATGTCTTATTAATTTTAATATTCATCGTATCACTTAACTGGGCAGTCAGTTTTATTGATTTAAGTTTATATCAGGGAGCATTTACATGCCTTCAAGTAGGATAACAGCAAAGGCAAAATACTTTGGGGGAAATAACTCCTATTTGTTCTCTAGTGGTGTGGAGGAAGAAGGGTCTTCTAGGTCAGTGCAAAAACCTGCCATCTCTTAGCAGCATTTGTGCAAACCAAACACATGTATATGGAAGGGATAGGATTACAAATGTTCAGATTACCCTAAAACAATGTGTTTGGTTCCTGCTAGAGCTGCTAGGCATGCATCCAGAGGCACATGAGGTAATGGGCATGCAGGTTCATCGGACAGGAGTTGAGTCTTTGCATAATCTTGACAGTATGACCTTGAGCTTTTTGCTTTAACCTCCATGAGCCAACTACCTCAGTCATAGCTTATTGATTCCAACCATAGTGACCCCACGTATTGCTGGGAACTGCTCCATAGGATTTTCTTGGCTGTAGTCTTTATGGAAGCAAATTGCCAGTTCTTTCTTCCACAGCACCATTGGTTGGGTTCAAGCCACCCACCTTTATGTGAGTAGTCAAACACAAACCAGCTTATAGAGGTAATGCATTTAAAATGCCTAACACAGTGCGTGGCATATATCAAACATGACAAAAATAGATATAATGATGACTTTTTAGGCATTTGATGTGGGTGGGCTTTCCATGGTGCTGGTGAGAACTTGTTAATTCTCAAGGTACACTTTGTCTCATAATGAAGTAGATGCACGCTTAGTACGTTATAGTCCTTTTCTTGGAGCTTGTGATAGTTGGAGCTGTGTCAACTTGGCTGGACCACAATTCTATGTGGTTTAAGCAATTGTGATGTGGGTTGTTCCCATGATGGGATCAGATGTATATGTTTTGAGCAGCCAATCCATTGAAAGGTAGTTTCCCTAGGGGTATGGCCTGCTTCCAGTATATATTATGGACATCCTGGGAAGAGAGACACTCTTCTGTGGATTGGGATCCTGTTGTGCTGCCTACAACTGCCTGGAGATCTTGGATTCATCATTTGTGGAGTCAACAGTCTAGCTTTTTGGCACATCTGCATCCTGCATTTGGCCAAGTCTTCATTTCAATGGTCTGCCATGTTGTCTGCTGATCTTAGACCTGTTAATGGACTTGAATTAGTGGCCTGCCATGTGCTTGATAATTCTTGGACTAGCCTCAGCAGCCAGCAGTTGTCTGAGTTATGAGAAGCCTCCAGCTTTAGTGGATTGAGAACAAGAGGCAGAGCTGAAGCCCAAGGTTGAAGGGCTTTTACCTAGTCCTAAATTGGCACTTTGAACTCAGACTTCTGTCTTCCTAAACTGTAAGAGAATAAATCTGTTTGTTAAAGCCATCCACTTGTGGTATTTTCTGTTAGAGCAGCACTAGAGGACAAAAACAGCTGGGTACCCTGGGCCGTGCAATAGCCTCTTCAAAACTATTTTAACCTCTGTAAAACTGGAGCAATAATGAGGACCAGAAAGGGAAGAATGTAGAAACATTTTATAATCTTTATATATCTACAGGGAACCCAGGAACTTAATCTTCTTACCAATAATTTGCTCTGAGGCTTGACAAATTTTCATTGTCACTGACACTGCTCTAACAGTCCAAAAGAAAATGTTAAATACGTCTTATAAAAATTTTAATTTGAACAATTTGATTAAAAATACATTTTATAAATAATTTTTCCATAGACTTGATTGAGGATTGTTGCTGACTTTACAAAAATGACACACTGTAACAACAATGGATTAAGGAAATTACAAAAAATATAGCTATAGTCCTCCTATTTAAAAAATATAACATTGTACATCACACAGCACTTTGTGCAAAGTTTAAGAGACTGCTGTGTTGTTAGGCAAGTCACAAATATTTACTCAACTTAGTATACATACTTTGCATAATAGTATAGGCACAGGTGAAATAATGAATATTTTTCTCCCTAAAAGTTGATGTGTCTTAGATCAACATTTTACTTTTATTTTGTAGGACTGAAGGCTGAACTAAGCTTTATATAAATATATAGTGTGTGTTCATAAGTATGAAAACAAGTATCTGCTTGGACATGAAGTAAACCTACCAACATATTTACATTATTTTCAGAGAATATATTGTTCAAATCAGTCTTTGTGCATCTTTTCTATTAAATAACTCTTCAAAAACGAAGCCAACATATGTCAGTTAGTGAACATCCTCTGTTGAGACTTCTAGTTTTCGTTGTGGGAAGAGAGTTCCTAATGAGATTTGATTGGCATCATCTAAATCCATACAGGATGAGCCTGTTGACTTTGTTGGCCCACCTGGGGTACGGAAGAAACTTTCAGCCACTAACTGTGACCCTTTGGGTGTCACTGGAACAGGCTGTTTGGAAAGAGAAGGAAAAAAGAAGTCAAATCTCCATAGCTATGTATGTCATAGCAATCTTAGAAGATTAGACTGGTAACATGTTGGGAACCTAGCATAACTTGAATTACTTAGATGTGTAAGCCTTGATGCATTTCACTTCTCAATTATTATTTTTTTAAGGTTAAATAAAATTCTCATGATAATCCAATAACATAGACTCCTTGGGCACTCTTCTTGGGTTCTGGAAGGAAAGCAGGCAGCCTTCAAGTCCCTCATCTTCCCAACCTTTTCCTCTCCATAAGCAAGTCTTACATGATATTAATATTTGGGGCCTGACAGCTAATTATGTTAATTATAATCTATAAACCCAAACCCACTGCCATCAAGTTGATTCTGACTCACAGCAACCCCAACAGGGTTTCCAAGGCTGTAAATCTTTAGGGAAGCAGACCACCACGCAGCTGGTGGTTTTGAACTGCCGATCTTATGGTTAGCAGTGCCACCAGAACTCTTAATATGATCTATATGTAGCAAATATTAGTTATTATTTTTTTGTTTATTAAATAAATTAGTAATATAATGATTATAGTAATAATTAATGATAGCAATAATAAATTAAATGGAAATGTTCTCACCTGTTGTGTCCCTGTAACAGGAACTGATTGTCCATTTGGTTGGTTCTGGCCTGGGACTGGTGAGTCATACCTGGTGGCTTTTCCTTGTTGAGTACTTGTACTTTCTGGTAGGATATTAGTAGCCTCTATTCTTGGAGATACAGGAACAGTTCCAGGTCCAGGGCTGGAGGTCACCTGCACACTGTGGGAGATGAGCCCCAAGTGTTGCAGGGTGAAGTTTACAATGGCTGAGCTTGGGTTCTGGACGGGAACGGGGTGGCTTGAAGAAAGAGCCGGGCTATTCCCGACAGGTACGGCTGCCACGGAAGTTGGTGAGACCATTAGCTTCAAAGGTGTTACATGAAAAGAGGGAAAATTAACAGCAGTGAGTTCAGATGATGTCACTGGAATAACACCTGGAAAGAAAAGGGGGGGAAAACATCTTAAAAGCACGGGCATTTGTCTGAGTTTAAAGAGTTTAAGTGAACTCGAGGCTGACCCACGTTTGAAGAGTGTTTTCCACGTACTCACCTGCAATTGGGGAGCTGTAGATCCTGTGGTTTGGGGAAAGTGTACCTGAATTTTCTTTACTAGACAAAATGGACTCTGCCCCCAGGGACGAGCACTGGGTGAGAGGGATTAGATATCCTGATGGGAACAAGGTCTAGAAAACAAGGAGGAAGGGTTTATTTTACACACAAATACAGGAAAATGGCCATGTGTCTCTTCCAGGACTAATACCCATTGGTTGTTTCTCATCAGACCACAATCTCCAAAGGTATGGGCTACAGGCAAGCTAGCCACCTAGCTAATGGAGGATAATACCCCTCCCACTCATGGCAATATTTGCATTGAATAATAGAGCATCTGTTTCTTAAATGCCACCTGTGATTTTAGGAAATGTCCTAAAGTTAGCCTTGAGCTTGTTTAGGGGTAGGTTCACCTAGTACAACAACTCACACTGACATCCTAACTCCCACTATCAGACTTCTTGGAATGGTGTGGTGCTACATGAACCAAGTTTAGTGAAGACCAAACATGGCACTGCTGAATTATCTGATCATTGTTCAATCACGTGGGGTGGTATTTGTCAAAAGGAGCCTTGGTGGCTCAGTAATTAAATGCTCAGCTGCTAACTAAAAGCTTTGTTGTTCAAGCCCACCAGCAACTCTGAGGGAGAAAGATGTGGCAGTCTGCTTTTCTAAAGATTACTGCCTAAGAAACCCTATGGGGCAGTTCTACCCTGTTCTATAGGGTCGCTATGAGTTGGAATTGACTCTCCAACAATGGGTTTGGCTTGGTGTTGCTGTTGTTACGTGCTGTCGAGTTGGACCCGACTCATAGCGACCCCTCCTTGGATTTCTGAGGCAGTATCACTACCGAAGTGGATTGCCTTGCTTTGGTGTTAGTGTTTCTCAAATAGTATCCTGAGGGACTCTAGTTCCATGGGATGCTACAGGGATTATGTGATTCATGGTCAAATATCTTTGGGAAATGCTAAATTAAATAATGCTGAATTTTTGAGACTTTAATGATGGGGTACCTTGTAAATCTCCAAGGAGATAACACCGAGTAGCAGTTCCTAAATTATTTTTTGGTAGGCTATAAAGGACTAGTGTTCAAGGAAAGCATTTTGAGAAATGTTGATTTACAACAAGTGTCAGCAATCTGTGGCCCATGGGCCAAATATGCATCTCCTTGTCTGTTTTTATAAAGTTTCACTGGCACACAGCCATGCCCATTTATTTATGTATTGCTTAAAAGGGCCTCTGTTTTCCTGCTAAAACGTCCAAGGTGAGTAGCTGCAACAGAGACCATATGGCCCACAAAGCCTAAAATATTTATTCTCTGGCCTTTTATAGAAAATTTGCCAACTTCTGATAAGAGTAAAGGAATTTTATAAGCATATATATATTTTTCAGTATTTTACTTTCTGATAGTACCAAGCAAAACGTCTTATATGGTATGCACCAGAGGTTTTTTTTTTTTTTAAAGAAAAAACAGCAAAAACAAAAACCTGAACAAACTAACAAATAAAAACTATAGACAAAAAAGAGAACTGATTAATTCATGTTGAAACCTACCTATCTTAAAGCAAAAGTTTTAGGTAATAAAGTTATATTCCAAACAGGAAAGATCCAAGTGTTGTGGTGCATGTAGCCTCAACCATGTTTGCTTGATATTGCACTTTGGCAAACAGAGGCCTGCAGGGGGCTGAGCTGCTTGAGAAGCTTCAGCCCTACCACCAGCAGGACCGGCAAAAGCTAAAAGCAGCTCTTGTAAATGAGGGCCCTGCTTTTATCTTCCTCTTCTCCACTGTCAAAACAACAGGCTACACTTTGATCTAGCTTTTCTCAAGTCCCAACTTTTTCTATGGGAAGCAGTGAATCCAGGACTGTCAGTGCTAAAAATGCTCCGTGAGCTTTCCGTTTTGTTTCTCCAATGGTTGGGTACTGTTCAATATCTTTATTGTTCAAGGTTCCTGGAAAGCTGCAGGAACAGAGAATTTTTAAGGGGTAGATTGAGTTTTGCAATTAGCTCCTTTTTGGTAATTATAATCTTCATTGTCTCTCGCATGGTACAAGTTATTCTGGTTGCTGGTTTAACTCTTTCAAGTCTTCAGTAAAGCCCTTATTACTCTAATAATTATCTTCTAATTTTGTGCAAAACCACATTCATTCACCACAAAATCTTTTAACTTACATTATCATTCCTTTTTATTAAAATTAGAGCTATTAAATTAGCAGACTAGATGAACTTGACATATGCCAACTGGAATGTCATCTCATCCAGGCTAGCGGGGTCCTCTCACCCTCCTATCCCAACAGCCTGTTTTGTCACTGTGTTGTTGCTAGTTGCCGTCAAGCTGACTCTGCCTCATGGTGACTCCATGTGTGCAGAGCAGAAACTGCTCCATAGGATTTAAGGCTGTGACCTTCTGGGAACAGATCGGCAGACCTGTCTTCCAAAGTGCTTCTGGGTAGGTTTGAGCCAGCAACTGTTTGGCTAGTATTTGAGTGCTTAAGGGCTCTTATCATTCACTACTTGATATATTTGTATCTCTTTATTTGTTTACTATCTTTTCTCTACCCTCAAGAGACCTTCTCAGTAAATGTTTTTGAATGAATTAATACATGAATCTTTCAATTTCTTTGTTCTGCCTGCTTAGTCTACGCTAAAATCAAATGGTCAAAATGAAGTCATAAGATGAAAAATGAAGCCAGCCAGAGTGTCATGAAAACCCAAATCCTGAATAACTAAGTGAGCAACAGGAGACCGTTATTAAATTATACCCATTGGCCCAAAGAGATTATGGACCGTCTGGAAAATTGAATCAATCCAAAGCCTTGTGATTTTCCCCTTAGCATGTATGTTAAATGCAAAATGATACTATGCTAAGATAATAGATGTTTTGAACAGTTACCATAAGGCCATCCTCAGGGAAGATTTGACAAACTCTAAAGCCTCCTTAGTAAGAACAGTAACAGATAATACCCTTCAGCTTATATGGTGCCTTAAAAGGATCACAAACCCCTCTATTACATATCATCATGTACTAAATTCACTTAATCTCGCAAAAACTATAATAGAGCCAAGAAGCAACCACCACCAAAGGCAGGTCCTAGGTTAGATCTGATTCTGAGCACAGTGCTTTATATCCAATAGGTAATCAGGAAATATTGGTGGAATACATTCTTCATAGATGTGGAAAAACAAGACAGAGAGAAATAAAATATTGGGTTAACAAAATGAAAGAATAACTTCTACTCCCAGTTAGTGGTGTTTATTTGATGATAGTCTTTCATCTATAACTGTCCTAAGGGACGAAAATGAGATAACGTATGTAAAAGTGCCTGGTACCTGTAACATCTGATACGTGGGTACCAGTTGCCACTGAGTTGATTTCAACTCAGGGCAACCCCACATGTGTCAGAGTAGAGCTGTGCTCCACAGGGTTTTCAATGGCTCATTTTTCTTTTGAGGTACCTTTGGTTGAACGTAAATGCCAACCTTTCTGTCAGTAGCTGAGTGCATTAACCCTTTGAACCACCCAGTAGACATGCAATAAATGTTAATTCTTTCCTGAACTAATCCCCACCTAGTAAAAAAAAATCTATTTAGAAACTAAAAATCTCTAGAGCCTAATACATCAAATATACCTACAATTTCCCAGGATTAGTTTGAATTTCTATTTACACAAAATAGAAATTTTGTGTTGATTTTTAAGTTTAAAGTCTAAAAAGAGGGGGAGAAATTTATCTTCTGGGCAACAGGTGCCAGTTACGTGACATCAAATAAACATTAGGTAGTGACTCAGAAAGCATGAGTTATAGGAACTTTGTGCATCCCATCCATCCATTTACTCAGGGTTACGTCTGCTTGTAAATTATTTAAGACTCTCATGACAGGTGTTTGCATTCCAGTATGTGATGGAGAAATGGACACAAGGGCAACCACTGGTAGTGCTTTAAAAAGAGACAAATAATCCCTTCCTCCAAAGGTTAAAAATATCCCTGCTGTCACCCCAGCCAGGGGATTAGTTGTCTGGGGCCTCGTTTGGATTATGAGATGCTAAAGAACAGTTCTGTGTCTTCAGAGAGGCTGTGCTTTGCTCTGGTGAATTTCACAGGCCACCAAGTTCTCCTCTACTCAACCAGGGAATTGCTACAACTTTGCAGAATTCAAGGCTATACTTACTGTGGAGACATTTTCAAGTCCTGTCAGATCCTCTTTAAATTTCTTCTTCGAACCACTGTCTTCAAGCATGTGTACCCTCTTTGAGACTCTTTCTCCAGAAAGCTCCTTGTCTCTGTTCTTTGCAGCTTGTCTCTCTGATGCTGGCAGCAAGCTCCCAGGTTTGGTGGAGGTACTTGCTTTTGCAGCATCATTGGTTGCTTTCTCGGTGGTGACATCAGTGGAATCTTTTGATGCAGTGGCTTTAAAAGAGTGGGTGGGGCAGACCGTAGGGCTCAGGCCTTGGGGTGGAGTCATGGTTTGGGCTTGGGTGGGCTGCAGGTAGATGGCATAGGACGGGCCTGAAGAGACCTGAGGTAGGATCACAGGCACTGCCGAGGGCAGTGGGCTGGGGATCAGGGGGACCACCCCCAGTGGCTGGATGAGAGACGGTGCTGTCAGCTCCAGCTCAGCATTTGCTGGGGTGTCCAGAGGGGCCACTGGTTTGCAGTGCTCAGATCTCGCCAGCTGCACTTTCACTTTCTTTTTGGATTCACTGAAAGACAAGATTATAAAAAGCAACACAATGGAAACATATTTTCTTTGATGGTCCACCACTTTAAACCTCAGATTAAAGCCATGCTTTTATGAAACTAGCAGATAGTTTCTGTAATGATTGAGTAGGGGTTTCAGAAAAGATTATCTCGCCAGTTTCCAAGGCTAGTGTCTATTCTTACATAAAATAATAAGTAATCCTCAATAATGCAGTGTAAAAGTAACTCATCCTGTTATGAAAGAGCATTGCCAACCTACCTTGATTGCTCTTCTAACTGCATTTTGCAAATTGCTGCGAGCTGAGCCATCTTACTTGGGAAAGGTGCTGAATTCAGAGAGCTCTCAGCTGGTAAAATAGAGAGAGGGGAGAACAAAATTAAAGAACAAAGGTTTACACTGATGAATTCTCACTGAAGTCAAAGGAGCAGAAAACATCCACCTCCTCACAAAAATACACAGCAATGAAATGATACAAGTTGCCAGCAAGTTGATTCCAACTCAAGGCAACACTGTGTTGGAGTGGAACTGTGCTCCATAGGGTTTCCAGTGGCTGATGTTTCAGAAATAGATTGCCAGGCCTTTCATCCATGGCATCCCTGGGTGGGCTTGGACCTCCAGCCTTAGTAGCCGAGCATGTTAACCATTTGCACATGCAGGGACTCAAATGAAATACTAATCCCACAAACTGCTTTTTATACACAATTCATACTCAAGTTAGGCTTCAAAAGTGTTTGGGTATATGGACATTAAAACAACTCTAAAATGTACTGCAAGGATCAAGCTACAAAATCAGATCAAAAGGAATTCTTCCTAGCTGAGAGCTGACATTATTGAAAACATACCTTTATTGGTCTTGATGGGGCTGCTGGGAGCAGAACTGATCTTCCGCCGATCATTTTCTATACTCTTTACTAGCTTGATGAGAGATGGGTGCCGAGTAAAGTTTGGTTTCCCACGTGTGGAGAAGAGGTTTTTGGCACAGTTCTCTTTTGAAGACCTCCTCACCTCCAAGTCTGAGGGAGCAAAAGGAGTAACTGGGCTGGGACCTGAAACAGAAAAGGGCAGAGTATTAAAACATGGGTGGTTTGCAGACTTCCTGGACTCCCTGGGACTGGACGAACACTGAAACTACAGCCTTGAGATACTCTTTCTGTCTAGAACTGAAACTATCCCATGAGGTCATCCTTAAACTAAACAATTTAGCTCAACTAAAATTGAGTTGAACTTGAGCAGTGTGTTCTTTTAAAAATTATCTATGAGATCAAACTGACAACAGTAACTTGAAAACACAGGGAAATTTAGGGAGCAGAGTCTGAGTTAATGGTGATGGAACAACATGGGTAGAGATTGTAAGAATGGTAACACAATACAGAGAATGTAACCAATATCATTGGTCATTTTCTACACTGTACGTATAGAAAATGTTGAACGGGTATGCTTTGTGATGCATAATCATCCCTCAGTATTTGTGGGGGATTAGTTCCAGGACCTCCCCCTCCCTGATCCTACAGATACCAAAATCCATGGATGCTCAAGTCTCTTATATAAATGGTGTAGTATAAGCATATAACCTACGCCCATCCTCCCATATATATTAAATCATCTCTAGATTACTTATAATACCGAATACAGTGCAAATGTTATGTGAACAGCATTTTACTCTTCCTCTTAGTCTTTGTGGGATTGCTTTGCCCACTTAATTGCTTTTTAGGAGCCATTTTTCCACAGAAACAAAAGATGCATACAACACAAGTAGTGAACTAAGAGGACGCGAGGTGAACAATGCTCAGTGAAGGAGTGCTGGAGAGAGACTGGGGACGTGTGAAATGGCAGCAGCCTTCAGCAGGGTGTGCCTACACATCACTTCATTCATGTGGATTCAGTGTAGTGTCCAGTGCATGGCAAAGTTAAGTTTTACTTTCTGGAATTTTCTTCCAAGTATTTTTGGTCTATAGTTTGTTGAATCTGTGTATGTGGAACCCATGGATTCCAACTATATTTTCATCTCCCTCCGCCTCCAAAAAAAGCAGAGGTGGGTTGCCTTCCCTTTGGATGACTTTAGAAATAATGCAAGTTACAGAGCACTGACGATGTGCTTTATACACATGATTACTTTGTTTATATTAAATGAACTCTGAGACAAAAAATTTCACACTTGAACATCTCTTGAAACCACACTGTAGCTTATAATCAGTGGTGTGCTAAAGTATAATTGTTAAGAGATTTTTCTTCCTTAGTGATATATAAAAAATCATGTATCTTATAATCAGTGAAGTCTTAGATCTGATGAAATATGGTGACTCTCATAACAACTTCAGGAGGTAGGTCTTTCTTGTGAAATTCATACCTATGTCAGAGAAATTAACAAGCTGACTCAATATCTCTCAACAAGTAAGAAGTGCAGCTGGGATGTGAACCTGGTAACTCTGGCCTGAGAGCCTATATTCCAAAACCCTACATAAATTACTTCTCTCTGAGATTATATCCAAAATCATAGTAATCCCACAAAATAGCCTATGTTCTTCCCATTGTACAGGTGAGGAACTGAGTTTTGGAGAAGTAACTTGCCCAAGGCTACACAGCTAATAAATGGCAGAGTTGGGACTAGAACCCAAACTGGCCTCTGCATCTATGGCCCTTCTTGCCATAGTCCATTGTTTCTGAGTGGGGGATCTCCAGGGAAATGCAAAATATCATAACTGAGATGGGGACTAACCAGTTGCTACTGAGTCAATTCTGACTTGTGGTGGCCTCATGTGTTTCAAAGTAAAACCATGCTCTATAAGGTTTTCAGTGGCTACCCTACATAAATTACTGTCAGAAGTATATTACCAGGTCTTTTTTCTGAGGTGCCTTTGGGTTGGATTTGAATTGCCAACTTTTCAGTTAGTAGCTCAGCACTTAACCCTTGGCGCTACCTACAGACTTAAGATGGGGACCTACTTGACACTGGAACGAACTCATTTCATAAATATGAACTCATCTGATATTCTCAATGTGCACAGGCAGCACAGGGTCCCTGAGCAGCATAATCATAGCAATAGTGTCTTATGTTTTGTGGTGCTTTCAACTTCTTCAAATCCTTTCATATATAGATTTCACTTCCTAGACACAGGGTGGGTGGTGATGTGGATCTTGGGTTGTTGATGGAGCCAGTAGCCAAAGTTTGTACACAGGCACCCATCTTTGTCTTTCTCATGACTGATGCAAGTTCTTTCCATGTGAGGTGTGGGTAGGAAGCGGAAGGGAAAATATCTGTAAATGTGTATTATGTCAAAATAAAGAAAGATTGGGAAAAAAAAAAAATACGTACCACTGGGATTTGGACTGATTTCTGGGCCTGTCCATTTAAAAGCTGGCTTTCGGCCTCTCTCCTCTGTTACATGCACTTTCTTGATAAGATCCAGGCTACTCAGAACATTTGCTATGTCATACAACCTCCTAATTTTTGCTTGGGAAGGAAAGCATATACACCACTTAGTGAAATAATGAAAGGTCCAAGGACAGTACTTCATAAACACTTTATGGATAGTCCAAGAGCTATCCTGTCAAATGTCAGACCAAGGAAAATCTGACTCCTTTTTAAGTTATTCTAGTGATGCTGTTTTAATTAAAACAACAATAGTTTTAAATATTTAAAAGACTGCTGGCACTGAATTTTGAAATGACAAAAGCACATGTGGAAAGATGAAAAATGACTTAATGAGATTACCTTATTGTAAACTATATTACATTTTTTTTTAAAATAAAAGTCACCATTCCTCAGTATCTTCTAATGGATTCAGAAGAATTTTATGAGCAACTAGAAACAAAACATTGCCAATAAATGTAATTTCCTGTTTGTGATAGCTAATTAGATTTATTTAATATCATAAGCATGGAAAACTCTGGACCCCATCAAAATTTATAAATTCTATACTGCTCTTGGGAGCTCTGGTGGTGTAGTGCCTAAAGCATTTGACTGCTAACCAGAAGGCTGGCAGTTCAAACCCACCAGCCAGCCAGTCCTCAGAAGGAAGATTGGACAATCTACTTCCGTAGATACCACCTTGGAAACCCAAGGAGTGCTTGCTGTGAGTTGGATGGACTTGACGACAGTGAGTTTTTGTTTTTTTTTTTGATACTGCTCTTATTATGTAATATGTAAAGCATAGATTTGTTAATTCTAGAAATCCTGCATAGCTTAATAAAAGTTTCATTTGAAAAAGTTTGCCTTTATTGCTGTCTTGATAGTACAAGATTACAAACTGAGCCCCTTCTTTATAGCCATGCCTGAAGGATGTGAATTCCCTTCAGCAAACTGCCTGCCGTTCCTGGAATCAGTTTCCAAGGCTGTGACTAATCAGTGAAACGGAGGGTTGAAACATGTCTGGTGAACTCAGAAAAAGCAGGCAGCCCATCAGTAGCATCAAGACATGTTTTCTGAAATTACAGATCTCCCAAGTCAATTGCCAGCATTATTGCCGTTACTGTCTACGCAATTTTATCTTTATGGCTACACTATTGACCTGGGGATTTCAGAACATACTTTGAGAGTATTACAGCTTTATATACATGGAAGGAGCCTGTGTGTAACAAGGCTCTACAGTCTCTGAGGCGGCTGGGTTGCTCTCCTAACCATAGAGCTGGGTCCCACCAGTTCTCCCCAAAGCTTCAAGTGGCCTGTGTCCAAGCTGGCATTTCTTTGCAGTGTGCTGATACTCATAGCAGACATGGGCATGTTGTTGGCAACAGGCAACTCTACTTCTGTTGAGTTCCTCTTTCTATCCCTTTTTTTCCTGGGGGTTCCTGCAAATTCTGGAATGGCGTGAGGGCAAAGCTCTGCCTTAAGAAACCAGTCCAACTTCCAAGCAGATATTTTGGCTAAAACTATTCGTTCAAAATGACAAACCAACTACCCTTCAGGTCATGTCAGGGGACAGTTTTAGAAAAGTTATTTATACTCTCGTGTATGAGTCAGTGGAAAGAGTGAAGACCTGGGTTTCGGTTCAACTTTATAATTAGGACTTCAAAGTGGTTCAGTCATGGCTGATGGTAACAAAGGCCGCACAGGTATTGCCAAGCAACCAAAATCTCTTCAGTGTTGGATTTTGACTGGAGTAGGAAACAGGCAGCGGTGCCCTGCTCAAAGATGGAAGCCAACTACATTCAAAATGGCGCAGTCTCCTGCCATCTTTGATGGGGCACTGCTGCCTGTTCTTACTTGGGTCAAAATCCAACTCTCAAGAGATTTGGTTGCTATGCAACATATACTCCGCCCTCTTTCTGTGGGCCATGACTGAACCATTTAGAACTGGTTTGAAGCCCTATTTACAACCTGTTGCCCATGTCAACCTTAGACACTACAGATTCCACACCTGTAAAACTGGGACAAAGTTACGGTATCAAATGAGGTAACTTTTAAGGAACTGTTTATAAGCGAAGGAGCTCTGGTGGCCTAGTGCCTAAGGCATTAGACTGCTAACCAGAAGTCTGGTGGTTCAAACCCATCATGCACTCATTGGAAGGAAGGTTGTGCAATCTACTTCCGTAGTGTTACTGCCTCGGAAACCCAAGGAGGGGTTGCTATGATTAGGATCTGATTGGATGGCTGTGTGTTTTTTTTTTGTTTGTTTGTTTATAAATGAATGTGTCAGACAGATAAGAGTAGTTATATGTGTCTTTGAATCCTACAAGTTAGCTAAAGCAGTGTTATCATAGTTTCTGGGAGAGAAATGAAGCTATAGAAGCATAATTAGAGATGACCTGTTTATTTGGAAATCAGTTTATATCTGAGAATCAACTATCCAAGAACAGGTCCAAAACACAAAAGTCCAGGCAGTCCATAGCACTTACTTTTAAATTTGCTTTTATCCAAATCCTCCACATGGTCTTCCCCAATTAAAATCTTGGCAGCAATTTCTAGGCTTACTATCTGAGGTGTTGACACCAAAAACAGCATCACAAATTTCTGGCTCATCACTCTTAAAGACTTGTCTTTGCGGCTGTTTACAGAAGCTTTGGAGAAGGATGAGGATTAGAGAATTAAAATTCATGAAGGGACAAGTGACTTCTCAAGTAACAAGGCTAAAAATACCACAACCTGATCATACAGTTAACTACAGCATTTTAACATTAGAGGCTTCAGAGTGGGGTTCTCTACTGCACCTTTTCTTTAGACCTACAAAAAGTACACATAGCCTGGGCTTCTCAATATTGCCTCTCACCTGCCCGAAATTCCACTCCGGGGAGTTCAACAAAACACATGTCAGGGTGTCCATTTTGGTCAGCGTTTGATTTGATGTGATCCTCTATACTGTAACTCTTAATAAAATCAAACTCTTGTTCATATTCCTTCTTTTTGATCATCATGATCTGCTCGGCGTATTTGTTCTCCTCCCCAACGCTCTTCAAAGTCCCAAGTGTCTTGGTGAGATTATGTCGCCCGTGCCAGGTGTATCTGTTTTTGGCGAGGCGGCTTACCATGTGCAAACTCTCTAGGACGTTCACAATATCATAAATGCGTCGACGCTCAACATCTACAAAGAATGCACAATTGTATGTTACTAGGATCAGATTTGTTAATATGTTTAGAATTGAAGGACATTTTTTTCCATGGTTTATTAGCCAGTAGGTTGTGGATAATATACCTTTATTAACTACAGTCGTCTCTCATTATCTGCATGGGATTGGTTCCAGGACAGCCTCCAATACCCAAATCCATGGATGCTCAAGTCCCTTATATAAATGGCATGGTTTTTGCATATAATCTATGCACATTTTCCTGTATACTTTCAGTCATCTCTAGATTATTATAATACTTAATATAATATAAATGTTATGTAAATAGCTTTTACACTCCCTCTTAGCCTTTGTGGGATTGCTTCCACCACTTAATTCCTTTCTAGGAGCCATTTTTTTTTGCTCCCTGGATATTTTCGATCTGCGGTTTGTTGAATCCATGGATGTGGAACCTCTGGATGTGGTGGGCTGACTGTATAAGTAAACACCTTTGCCCAACAAACCATGTGAAGGTGACAAAGACATGTCCCTGCTCTCAAAGGACATAGATAACAGTATGAAATTGGAGGGTCGCATTTATCAAGGGTCTGATATGTGCCATTCAGCTTTAGTGAATTTTTATCCATAACCTGTGAGAGAGATGGTATTATCCATACTTCATAATGAGGAAAGAGAGGCTCAGACTGGCGAAGTCACTCACCCCAGGGCACAGAATATGTGACAAAGCGGCAACAACAGATCTGTTGCCACTGAGTGGATTCCAACTCATAGTGATCCCATGTGTCAGAGGGTTTCCAAAGGCTGAGTTTTTAGATGTATAAGGTCAGGGCTTTTTCCCTCTGGGTGGACTTGAACTTCTTATTTTTATTTTGCAACCAAGTGTGTGAACCGTTTCCATCACCTAGGAAGATTCCTAGTAAGTGGGAAGGTTAGGATTTGAATACTCTAAATCCCGTGTTTTCCAATCTATTTTCTTACCACCCTCTTCTCCCTCCCCTCTAAGCTGCCTGTGATAGTTGTAGACAGGTACAAAGGGCAATGAGATTTCAGAAAAGTGTAAAACCACAACATAGTTTTTAAAAACCCACATAGAAGATAAACTTTCATTGTGCTTGTTTGGGAGCACCATTAACAATGTACTACTAGTAATTCTGTGACTTTCATTAATCTATTTAGACTGGGTTTTCAATATTCTTCAATGTTCATGTTCTCTTTGTTCAGTATCTTAATGTTGATTTAAATTCAAATAGTTGGTTAAATGCAGGCTTTCTGGAAAAGTGCTTAATAGAACTATTAATAATAATAATAATAATAATAATAATGATAGTAAAAACCCAAAATGAATGCCATCATGGTAAATCTTTACAGAAGTAGATTGCCCCATCTTCCTTCCACGGAGTGGCTGATAGATTTGAACCACCAACCTTCTGGTTAGCAGTCAAATGCCTTAGGCACTGCACCACCAGAGCTCCTTAATAATAAAGTATTTAGTAAAACTATTCAAGAAAGGTGCATCCTACTGGTTTTTTTGCTGTCCCTAGAACATGCCAGATATGTTCCTGCCTGAACACTTTTGCATTGGCTATTCCCTTTGCCTAGAACCATTCCCCCAGATGTCCTCATAGTTCCCTCCCTCACTTCTTTAAAGTTCTTATTCTGAGTTTACATACAGTAAGAAACATTCTGTGAAGGTTACCAGGGATGGGAGGGAAATCACTAACTAGAGAGTGGACACATACTAACTTGGGTGAAGGGAAAGGCAATATACAATAAGGGGGAGGTCAGCACAAAATGACCAAGGTAAAGGAAGACCTGGAGAGGTATATAAAGGTCAAAGGCAACAGTGATAAATCCTATTATATACACAATCCTGCAATAACAGTAAGAACAATAATCTATGAGTGGAAAAATAGACATGCAACTGAACAGAGATGGGAAGGCAAATGGGACCACACCCACGAATATATATAGGTTTGACAGAGGATATTTCTACTTATGTATTTATGATATATCCATACATATAGTACAGCATACTATATATAGTTATGATACAAAGTTATGATAACTTCTTAGCCATACCCCAATACCTTGAGGCAATGAGTTACTGGGCCTGAGGACTTAGGCCCATAGTCTTGGGAGATATCAAGGTCAGTTGGCACCACATAGTACACAAAGAAAATGTTCTGCACCCTACTTTGGTTGAGTAGTCACTGTGGTCTTTCAAACTTGCAAGTGGCCATTTAAGATGCAACTTCTTGTATGGACAAGAAGAGTGAAAAAAATCCAAGACACAAGGAAACAATTAGTCCAAAGGACTTAACAGACCACAAGAACCTCAGCCTCCACTACCCTGAGACCAGAAAAACTAGATGGTGCCTGGCTACCATTAGCAGCTCTGATTGGGATGAAAATTGTGGAACAAAACTCAAAATCATACAAAAGACCAGACTTACTAGTCTGATAGAGACTGGTGGAACTCCTGAGACTGTGGGCCTTAGATAGCCTTCCACCCTGGAAGTGAATTCACCCACAAGGTTCAACTTTTAGCCAAACAATAGGCCTAAAAGGTGAACAACAATACTTGAGAGGAACTCCTTAGAACAATCAACCATATGAGAACAAAAGGGCAGCATTTACCTAGGATCAAACCTCAGAAGGCAGGAAGGGATAAGAAAGAAGAATGGAAAAGTAAATATAGGGGGGAAGTGGGAAGAATCCTGTTACATTGTAGGGACCGCAATCTATGTCACAAAACAAAATAAATTATTGAATGGAAAACTAATTAGCTCTATAAACTTTGCCTAAGGCATTTGACTGCTAACCAGAAGGCTGGTGGTTCAAACCCACCAGCCATGCCTGGGAAGGAAGACTGGACAATCTACTTCCATATAGACACCACCTCAGAAACCCAAGAAGGGGTTGCTGTGAGTTGAATCGACTTGATGGCAGTGACTTTGGTTTTCCTTTTAGAAACCACAATAAAAAGTTAAAAATAAATAAAGTTCTCATTCTGATATCACTTTCTTAAGAAAGCCTACCTTAACCACTGAATTTTAAATTGCAAAGCATCCCTACTCCAGCACTCCTAATCTCCCTTATTCTGTTCTAGATTTTCTTTTATGCATAACACAAATTACTTTCTAACATATATTAGTTACTTGACTACTAAAAGAAAGGTTTGTGGTTCAAACCCACCCAGAGGCAATTTGGAAGACAACTCACTGCCATGTGTTGGATTTGACTCATAGCGACCCCTCCTTGGGTTTCTGAGGCAGTATCACTATGGAAGCAGATTGCTCAACCTTCCTTCTGAGGAGTGGCTGGTGGGTTTGAACCGCCAGCCTTCTGGTTAGCAGTCAGATGCCTTAGGCACTGTGCCACCAGAGCTCCCGAAAGGTACAGGCTGGAAAATCCTATGGAGTGCAGTTCTACTGTGCCACATGTGGTTACTATAAGTGGAAATGATTTGATGGCAATAACAACAAAATATGTTCTTTGCTTGTTATCTATTGCCCCCATAGAAATGTAAGTTCAGTGAGATCAGTGGTTTTGTTTTTGTTCACTGATGCATCCTAACCTCCTACAACATTGCCTGGCACATAGTAGGTGATCCAAAGATACTTGATGAATTAAAGGGAACCTCCTACATAGTTACAATTAGGTGTATGTGAAGAATAAAACCAAACCAAACCCACCGCCATTGAGTTGATTCCGACTCATAGTGACACTACAGAACAGAGTAGAATTGCCCCATAAGGTTTCCAAGGCTGTAAATCTTTATGGAAGCAGATTGCCTCATCTTTCTTTTCAAACCACCAAACTTCTGGTTAGAAGCCAAATGCCTTAACCTCTGTCACACCAGAACTCCTATGTAAAGAAGAGATGAATCTAAATTGCATATTCTTAAATTATGAAATAAAGTTGATATTTATATACATGTATTAAAAAGTGCAAATGGTTAAAGCATTCAGCTGCTAAGTGGAAGATAGGAGGTTTGATTCCACCTAGAGGAAAAAAGTCCTGGCAAATATTTCCAAACACTCAGCCCTTGAAACCTATGGGGCACAATTCTACTGACACATATGGGCTTGCCATGGGTTGGAGATGACTCGACAGCAAGTGGCTTATTAGAAAGGCAAACCCTTTCTTCATGGAGTGATGATTGCTACATATGAAAATACATTATCTTGCACATCTCCTCAGAGTTTTATGCTAAAATATTTTCATTATTCTAAAGGTACTCCAAATTTGCCACAGACCCCTTTTTAGTTCTAATTAGATTTAGGTCTAAAATATTATAAGTGAATAAAATTAAATTGAGTAAGAGAGTAAATATAATGAATCAGAGATGAAGAGAGGAGTAAAAGAGGGGGAAACACAGTAACTTTTACAAAACACAAAGCTCACAGCAAACTGGAGTTTTCAGAAAACTACTTAGTGGCCCAAAACAGAAACAAATAAAACCAAACCGATTGCTGTTGATTTGATTCCAACTCATAGTGACCCCATATGTTCCTGAGAACAGATCCATGAAGTTTTCTTGGCTGTAATCTTTACAGAAGCAGAGTGTCAGGCCTTTCTTCCATTGTGCCGCTGTGTAGGTTTGAACCACCAACCTTTCCAGTTAGTAGTGCAAACCGTTTGCATGACCCAAGGACTTTTACTGAGTGGCAGAGAGCACTAAAGTCCTGCTTCCAGTGACAGAAGCTGATTCTCAGCATAAAGTGCAATCTATGAAGACACCATTCACCAGCATGGCTCTTCAGGAGAGACCAAGGCAAAACGTCAGTTGTAGCTGTTTGTGATATAAGTCATAAAACAATGTTGACTTTCAAACTTCTGAGCTTTTGAAATGCAGTCAGAAGCAATCTTTGTTGTGGTATTCTGCTTCTGTTTTAAGCTTCGCTGGAATTAGAAACGATATGCATTATATTCTTAAATGAACAGGGTTAAAAGTTTACAAATATTTCCATGTAGCCATATTTGTGTCATTTATAAACACTGGCCAGATGAGTGTGGCTCTAATGGAGTAAGTCCATAAAGTCATTTTAATTATTAACTGTTTTAGTGAGTTCTTTGTGTACTTACTAAGCTCCTCTGCTACTTCATCCAGGCAAATGTCATTATTCACTGCAGGGTTGGGATAGTTAGGATATCGAGCTAAGAACTTATGACACAACAGTCCTAAACTTTTCTCTTTCCGACTTGGTTGAGATTTCTCATATTCATCTCCAGATAAGTGTTCCTAAAAAGAAAAAGGCAAATAATGCTTTATTCTCAAATAAAGTTTGACAAAATTATTAGGGGCATTTGCACTCAGTGACTAAAACTTCTACCTGTGCTTGGCTTCAATAACTGCAAAGTTCGCAAGAAAAAAGGGAAGCTAGTACTCACTGCTTGGCAGATCTGAAAGGGAAGCTTGAACTAAAAATAACGCAAAGGTTCAGAATTCCCAGTGCTATTGTTGTGATGGGGTGCAAACCTTTCCATTGTGCTGAGAGAGGCTAATAGCTGTTTGGTGGTGCTTTTTATCGATGGCAAGTCCACAACAGCGACAGCCTTCCCCCAGCCCCCAGTCTCCTGAAAACCTACATGTAAACAGTCTCTGGCCTCAGGTAGTCCACTTCTGTTATCAAACAGTCCCCTCTTCTGATCTCTATTGCGGATCTCGGGGCTCACAGCACTGATGAGCATTTTCAGATTGGCTGTTGGTGTCCACGGTTCCCCCTGGGAGATTTCCTTGGGCTTGGTGGGTGTTGTTAAAGGGCCAAAGTCGGGCTGGATCTCTGCCAACACTATATTTGGGGCCGTGGATTCTTTCAGAGGAGTTTTCATTAGTACCTTTTTATGTGGCTCAAAAAAGAGATTCTCCTGATCCAAACAAAACAAAAAAAAAAACAGTTAAATAGTTAAAGCCATTGTAAAGCAGGATTTATCAGAGGGCTTTTGACTCTGGAAACTGTACAACAGGCAGAATATTGGTCAGGAAAAGATGCTTAATGATGCTGTACTGTTGACTAAATTAATAACTATATTTCAATAATAAAATAACATGTTATTCATTCTAATAGCTAAATTTCCCATTTTTAATTGCAAAAAGCACAGACCTACAATCTTTCATCTCTTGTTTCAAGAATTAAAGAAAAAAAAAAAAAAACACTATTAGGACCTGTAACTTTTTATTTTAAAATAATTTTAGATTTAGAAAAGACTTGCAAATATAGAGTTCCAATATACATAGTGCCTAAGGCACTTGACTGCTAACCAGAAGGCTGGCAGTTCAAACCCACCAGCCACTCCTGGGAAGGAAGGTTGGGCAATCTACTTCCGTAGTGATACTGCCTTGGAAACCCAAGGAGGGGTTGCTATGAGTCAGGTTTGACTCAACGGCACATAACAATAACAACAAGCTTCACCTAACAGGACTTAATAATTTTAAGGGATCCAAACTCCTAGGGGCAACTTTTACTCATGACACTGTAATACGTATGTGCCTTTAGGGCAGAAACCATGTCCCAGCAATCTGTGTATCTGCCTAAAACAATGACTACGTGCAGTAGGTGCTCAATAAACCACGAATGTGGATGAGTCAGAGAACCAGAGACAAGGGTGAGGCCTTATCAGAAAAATCCAGTAGGGAGCAGCAGAGTGCTTGAGAGCAGGGTTTCTGACCAGAAAAGTTCCTGGAAAATCTAGATTGCTAACCAGAAGGTTGGCGGTTCAAACCCATGAGCTACTCCAGGAAGGAAGATGAGGCAATCTGCTTCCATAAAGATTTATGCCTTAGAAACCCAATGGGTGCTGCTATGAGTTGGAATTGATTCGATGGCAGTGGGTTTGGTTTCACTGTATACAAGGAGAAAATGGGGCACAGAGAAGTAAAATTAGTTACCCAAGGTCACAAGGCTGACTCCCTGGCAGAGATGGGACTGCCACTTTGAGCAAAAACAGATAAATTAACAGCAGTTCATAAATAAAATTAATAGAGGGAGCTCTACTTTGTCCTATAGGGTTGCTATGAGTTGGAATTGATGGCAGTGGGTTATGTTTCTTCTAATTGTGGACATCAGGGACTGTCACACATTCTTCTTATCTGTGCCTATTTTAAAGAGAAGGCTTGGGATAGCAATATGTGAAAGAATTGAGACTACTAATTTCTCAGTAACCTTAGGAACATGGATTAGTGGGATTAGTTTATACATGTGTTACACTTTAGGACCAATCAAGTGTTTTTCCATTTCCAATGTCACCAAATCCTGTATTCTCATTTTGCAGAAGAGGAAACTAAGGTGGGGAGAGGTCAAATGGGTCTTGAAATCGGATCTTCTCATTCCAAGTATGGTGCTCTTACTTGGAAGTCAGTATGACGAATTCAGTGGGTGATACTTGAGGACATGTGCTAGCCCAAGAATAGGATTTTTCTAAAGGCTCCTGTCCTTTGCTTAAAACTATCAGAAGCCAGCAATATCACAATTGTCTTATCTGACAAATACCTGTAACTTTTAGGAAATTTGCACATTAGTTTATTTTGTTTTAATTTATCAGTATTTGAATACCAATCAAGACACCCCCCACTTATGATTTCTTTTTGTAATTTTACAAAACATTTACCTCATAAAGTGCTTACCAGGCTGCCATAGTTAAGCTGATAATTTGAAAAATTATTTTTTAAAAAATTCAATCTCAAATCATGTCAAATATCCTTTCTGAATTTCTGTTGTTCAAGAATCCTCAAAAATATCATAATGCAACTAACAAATTTTAGTTACTTAAAAATATTTAATTGGGTATTAGATTGTACTATGCCAATGCCCTTTTTCTCTGAGACTTCCACCAAACTATTAAAAACTAGAAAGACTACTTTAATCTGGGCAAATCTCCCCCTCTTCAAAAATTAAATTTCCCTTCTTCCTGGGTTTTACAAAGGTTAACTAAAAAAGGAGATGGCGTTAATGTGATATTGTTACTGAGAAACTATGAAGTTAACTTAGGATGATACTGCATTTAAAAGTGCAAGGGTGGACAATGAAAGAGTACCTTTTGGTTTTCCATTCTGTAAATTTCTCACACATTTAGTTTCTTTAAAAATGAAAAATCTGGAGTTCCTCCCAATATCCCGATGGTTCATGTAGTCCAATCAATTCTATTAAAAAGTTTAATATCCTTAAAGAAAATAGAAAAAGTTTGGAAAAAATAAGAACTATGAAATCTCCTATTGAAAATTCATTCACGGACACTGCTGGTTACAAAAATAAAGACTAAGGAAAAATGACCAACTAGATTTACATTTTATTCCCGACCAGAGATAAAAGCCCCGCTGGGCAGAAAACTCCGAAAAATGCCAGTAAAACCCTTCAGCAAACCGATTTCATTTTGCAAAATCGATCTGCTGCCACGAGGCTGCAAGCAACCCACGGAATTTCCAGTGCCAACCTTCTCTCATCTTTAGAGAAGACAGGCCATATTCTGGAACTACCATCCTGGAACAGACCGCAGCAAGTACCCACCTGTTCACACACCAGGGCTCCGGACTGAGCGCCACAAGTCCAGGTTCAGGCTGAGCAGAAACGACCCGGAATATCTGGATACAAGACTGCATCCAGATTCCTGAATTTTCCCCCTTACACACGTGCACAGGCTCAGCACTAAACGCTTGAGAAACTGACATGAAATTTCCACATTCATTCCCTAAAGCGCAAAACGTACTGCTGGGCATTTAAAGAGCGCCTTATGATTAAGACTTTTTTTAAATAAAAAGAGTTCCTTAAAAATTCACACTGCTATGTTCCTGTTTTTCAGGGGGCCGCTACGGTCTTGATTCACAGCATGGAAGGCTGTATTTGCTCAGGAAAGCAACCAGGTACAGTTCCCTTGCCGCCACGCCACCAGCTCGGGTCCCGCGCACTTCCCCCTCTGCCGAGCCAAGTACCCCTCCCCCCGGGCCAGTCCGCCCACCTCAGGCCCGACAGTTCCCGGACAGCATCTTCGCGGTTCCCAGGGCAACGACTCCCGGCCAATCAAGGAGCCGGTGGCGGGCTAGCGATTGGTTGGCGGTGTCAGGGGCGGGCCCGGACCTTCCGCCTTCGATTTAAAAATTTGGCGCGGAAAGCCGGACCACGGCCGGCACCGCCCCTTTGCAGCGCGGGGCTAGAGCGCGGGCAAACCCGCGCCCGGAACCCCGGCATCCCCGCCCCTCCCCCTCGCTTGTCCCCGCCCCTCTGCGCGGGAGCTCAGCTCCTCCCTCCACAGCCCCCCGGCGGAGCGGGAGGCGGGAAACGGCCGCTGCTGCCGCCGCCCCGCCCGCCCCAGCCGGCCCCTGGTGCCCGGCCGCCTGGGTGTTGTGTCCCTCTGCGTCCCACTGACCTGTCAGTTCACCTCACGGTTGGAGCCTGCCGGGGCTGAGCTGGGACTCCTCGGCACCCCTTCCCTGCTTAGGCCCAGGAGCCCTCGTGTCGGGCCGTCAGTCCGTCCTTCTGCCGCGCCGAGGTGGGTGCTGGAGGGAAATGCCGGGACTCGGCCTAGCGGGCCAGCGGGCTGGCGCAGGGAACGTGACCGTCCCGGAGCAGTCAGGTCCCCGATTTGAAATTAACCCGCTCCCGGCGCGAGCAGCTCCCGCGGGCGGGGAGGTCCGCTCCCTTCCCCCACGCCCGCTTGTCCCGGCCCTGGACCCCGCGCGCCAATCCCAGCCTGCAGCCACGAGCCGCGGGCGAATAGGGTGCAGGCGCCGCCCCCGGTCCCGCCCCCACCTCAGAGTTGGGGGGAAAGTTCAACTTTTTTTTTTTTTTTTGGCAAACACCCCCTCCCCTTACTCAAAGTTGGGGAAGAAGTTTGGCCTGCTCCGGGCTTGCGCGCTGGGACACGGGCGCCCTTGCTTTCCGCAGCTATTGGACCCCTGCCCAGCCTGAGGTCCACTCACCTGCCCCGAGGACTCCAGCTGGGACGGTCCCCTCTTCTGTCCCAGGCGTACTCGATTGCACTGCCCACTGTCTCCCCCATCCCTTTCAGAATTTAGTGGAGGGAGAAGCTCGGCCAACTAGTGCCACATTCAATGCGCTCGGTGCCTTGGGCCAGCCACGAGAACTCAGGTGTGGGAGGGAGAGGAGTAAAGCTGAAAACCCGCCAAGCCTGTTCCCCACCGCCGTCTGCCGTCTCCCCTCTAAGGTCTCCCACCCGCTCCTTCCTTTCCCCTCCCTGTTGTCTTCCCTCGCCTTTCCCTCTTTTTCCGGCCTCCGAGCCTTGGGCAGTTTAAACTCGATGTACTGTGGAGTCCTAGAATAACAATAGGATTGGGAGACTATAGTCTTAAGACCCTATTTTGTAAACAGGGAAACCGAGTCCCATGCCTGTATTGTTTGGTTTGCTACGCTATTCTCCGCCTTTCAGCGTTTCCCCTTTTCTGGGGACCCGTGCTGGGGTTGCCGGGACGCATGTGTTGGCCAAGCGCTCCTAGATCAAGGCGCCCATCTATCTATCAACTGTTTGGCGTGGGCTCTTTCTGCTCCTCTAATCTCGAGTCTCTAAGCTCCAGCAAGGTCCTCGGCCGCGGTCCCCCAGCCCCACCACTTATGTGTCAGTGAATCATCCACCGCTGACTCGCAGCGCGGGACATTCTTATATTTTCCCGGACGCAATCAGAGTGGGGATGCTATGATACTGAGGCCGGAGTTGCCACGCTGCAGAGACCAGCCGCAGAGCCGGGGGTCTTGGTGGCGAGAGGTGGCTCGTCGCTGGGCAGAATGCGACCACCGGGCGCTCAGGGCTGCCCCCGCGAACGGTTAGCGCGTAGCGCCGTTTTGTCCCGCACCTTCCCTAGCCGCCAGCCAGGGTGAGGGACGATCCAGCTTCAGGCAGGTGTTGCTCAGGGACTTGCTGTGACTTGAAAGCGCGCCTTTGGCTTGGTGCTGTGAGCAGGGGAGCCGCCCCCTATAGCTCTCGAAATTAAAGTAAAGTCGAAGCCCCCGGGCAGGGCCGCATCGCTGGAAGTGCGAGCAGCTTTTGTGGAGCAAGGAGGGATTATAAATACATCTACAAAGGATGGACACTGTTTTCTGCATTAACCACTGTTTTCCAGATCGATCCTCTTCCCCTCCCCATCAGCTATTATAGGTTTGCGAGGGTTCAGCTCTGCCCAATCTACCCTAAGTTTTTACAACCCTGGAGTATAGCTGGCGTAAGTCTTCTTTAAAACGACTCCTTTCAAAAGCAGCCCATCTGATGCCCCTGTGTTCACAGGCGGTGACTAATACTTTCACATGTGCTGATTCACAGGGCTATTCATGCCACCAGTGTCTGGATGGCAAGTACCTGGTACCTGTGCTGCAACTAATACAGGAAGCTAGCACCTCTGGTGACACTTTACAAATATCACCTCATTTAATTTTTAGCTCAGATGTTAACCACGATTTGTAGCACGGAAAGATGAAGCACAGCATTTTAAAGTAACAAGTCTAAGGTCGCACAGTGACAGAACTGGGATCTGAAATAAAGTCTACTCCTAAGGGCTCCCCACTGAAAGCCACGTCCTCCACTGTGCTGGGCATGGTCCTTACTCGCTTCATAGGGTTGTTGCACCTTTTTATTTTACAGAGAAGAAAACTGAAGGGTGCAAAGTGTTAAGCGATGATCAATTAATTCTGGCTTCAGAGTCAGGTCTACCTGCTGCCAGTTCGAGTGTAGCAGGGCATTGCCTCTGAAAGTCCCTGTCAGTGATGTCTTAGACCGGCCATTAACCCTTTAGTCCCCTCTCAGCATAATAACAAACAAAAAACCAAGAAAGATGGGATATGTAATTCTTATTTTAATGACATTGTTATGTCTTACTGAATGAAGCATGTGAAGTTTTATTTCACCTTCCTGAATACAATGAAAAGCGGTCACATTAAGAGTGAGGTTGTATAGTCGAATCTTACTGATCTTTTCATATAATGAAACAGGAGGCAAGTTGAAACAATTGTACTGGTTATTCTAATGTGTCAATTTGAAGTTCTGCATGTGCATTAAGGAAAGACAGACCCACTGGAGTTGATTCCAACTCACAGTGACCCTATAAGACAGAGTAGAACTGCTCCATAGAGTTTCCAAGGCTATAAATCTTGCCGTAGGACTATCGAAAACTTTTACATTTATTGCATTGCCAAGAAGGATGGACCAGGGGACAAGTTTGAAATCCTTCCCCCATCAAATTTGTTCTCTGGTTATTAGTTACATAATACAAGGGAATGCTCATGCATTTGTTTCTGTCTGTCTTTCTTTTTTTTTCTTATTCACCACATTGTGTAATCTATGTTTCACTGAAGTTAGACCTGTTTTGCAACTCTACACTGCCACTCAAATAGGTTGCATAACTCAGAAGGCTAAGATGTTGTGCAACACGTTTAGCACCAAGTAAGGTGTTGTGAGAGAAAAAAAAAAGATATCAAAAGTAAGGGGGAAAGGTGGGCTTATAGGTAACCTTTAGGAGATTTTGGAACCTTGTCCCTTTCCATCATCACCAAATAGTCGCATGCACTGGCTATGAAAACAGCAGGGCTTTCCCCTGTTGACCAGGGCACAAGGGTAAGGAAGGAGTTGCTCTAGTTAGTGGGTTCCTAGACCTTTTCATCTTACCTTTCTTCATTCCCCTACTCCCACCCCCAGCTCCCACCTGGCCAGGTGCTTCTATCACCAGCTCTACTTCCTGATCCAGTCCAACAATGTCGGTTTGTGCGTTTTCGACAACACGTGCTGGCACAGCCACAAAACAGCTGTGTAGAGCTTTAAAATGCACAAATCCCCCTGGACTAGGTTGATCGCAGCTGCTTACAGCCAAATCTCAGCCTTCTTTGGTTCCTTTGAAGAGCTCATTACTCTGCCAGCCGATAAATCTCAACCCAACACATTCCTATCGAGGTGATTCCGACTCAGTGACCCTACAGGACAGAGTAGAACTACCCTATAGGGTTTCCAAAGTAATTTTTTCGGAAGCAGGCTGCCACATCTTTCTCCTATGGAGTGGCTGTATCCTATGGAGTGGTTGGCCATTCCAACTGTAGACCTTTTGGTTAGCAGCTGAGCACTTAACCACTGCACCACCAGGGCTCCTAGATGAATCTAGCTTGTCCAAGTCTGGGCAGGTTTAAAAAGGGTCCTAAAAGAAATCCCAGGTGTAGGATCATCTGGAGCTGGTTTTGCTGACTGTAGAGCTAGAATTGATCAGATCCTGTCCAAAGCAGCAGGGCTGTGTTTCCAACCCCCTCGAGTTCTATGACTTTCTGTGGGATTCTCCACTCAGTGGATGAGCTCTGGGTGGATATTTGCAGCTCTGGATTCAGTTGCTGCCATTTATTGAGTGATTACTGCTTCTAAATTTTGGAAATGCTTTGGGGATAATGGAGTCCCTGGATGGTGCAAACAGTTAATTGCCCATCTGCTAACCAAAAGGTTGGAGAGTTGGGTCCACCCAGAGGCACCTCAGAAGGAAGCCCTGGAGATCTACTTCTGAAGGATCACAGCCATCGAAAGCCCTTTGGAGCACAGTTCTACTCTGACACATAGGGAACTATGATTCAGAGTTGACTTGTTGGCAACTGGATTACTGGTTTGGGGTATAATAGAACACAAAACATGGAGGACCCTTTTAGAAACCTGGAGCCTGAGTTTTGTTCTCATTATATTACTTCATCATATAATCTTAAAATTATCACACATTTAAAGAGTACACATACAGATAAATATACAGATTCCTGGGAGTGGGGTGGGATTTATTACATGAAAACCATACCACTCAACTAAGTGCAGGAATCCTATATGCTACCTGGTCAGCAATTGCTACCCTTTGCTTGAAGTCTCACAGTGAAAGGTAACTGTCTTGCCCCCCTCTTCAGGTAGGTTAATCATGTCCTGTTCCTGATAACAGTCCTGTATAAAAACCAAAAAAACCCAAACTTATTGCCATCCATTTTGACTCATAGTGACCATCATTGGGTTTCTGAGGTGGTAAATCTTTACAGAAGTTGATTTCCCCATCTTCCTTTCACAGAGCAACTAGTGGGTTTGAACTGCCAACCTTCTGGTTAGCAGTCAGATGCCTTAGGCACTACACCACCAGAGCTCCTTAGTAGTCCTTCATATGCCCCTCTATTATAGACTTCCCCCACTGCAACCAACACCACTGTGAGCTTCTTGAGGCCAGCGAGAGAGGGCCTTCTTCTTGGTGAATCTCCCTGTTGCCTGGCTGGATGCCTGGCTCTGAGCAGGGTCTTACAAACGTTGTTTGACTGAATAAGGTTCTGGTCTTGAGTGTCATCACACCAAACCCAGGACATACCTTATGTTTTAATCTATCTTTAGTGCCATGTTCAATGTCTGGCATATACTTGATATTCTATAATGTTAGAAAAAATGGCTAGTAGCAAAGTTCAACAAGACAGAAAATAACAAATGCTGGCGAGGTTGTGGAGAGATTGGGACTCTCATACACTGCTGGTGGGACTGTAAAATGGTACAACCATTGTGGAAAGCAGTATGGCGATTCCTTCAAAAGTTGGAGATACAAATACCATTTGACCCAGCCATCCCAT